CCCAACCGTACATCTTCAACTTCCGAAAGCCGTATTATGACATGTCTTCTCCTCAAGCGTTTAACTATAGATTTTCACCACAAACGTACGGTTTACGTTTGCCCCAGGAGGTCACATCACCTCTCTGGTCACATGATGAGTCAATGTTTGGATGATGTCACCAGCCCGCTACGGTATAAATAGTCACACACTGGCGTGCTGAGCCAGAGAGAGACGACGAGGGCTACGGAACTCAGCAGAGGCAATAGACCAAGTCGTGATTTTGTCATCTAGATTCTAGTATCTAGGCTTACACTCTGAACCGTCGCGAACTGTGTTGATCAACATGCTCAGATTTCTCGTCTTCGCTTTGCCTGTAGCCGCTGTGTTGTTGGCTTTGGCCGTCACAGCTCAGCCTCCCGATAACGCTAGTGGTAACATCTGCTGTCAGAGAGACCTGATTAACTATACTGTTCTTTCCGAGAATGGCACATCGGCAGGAGGGAAAGGCGTCAGGTAAGTAAAATATATAGATTTAATAGAAAACAAAATAGCCATCTCTGTGAGTTTGAACTAGATTTCTAGATCTAGATCTAGATCTAGAATCTAGATCTAGATCTAGAAGTGATGAATTATCAACCTAAACGTTGAGTTCACTCTAAATGTGAAATATAAAAAAAATATGAGCCAAGAATATTAACTTTTCCTCTAAAGATCTAGAACCTATATAAGTAAATCAATAAAGATGAATATTACCCAACACCCCCTCTGTGTGTAAAATAAGGAAGACAAGTCATTAACCTTAATATTTCAGCTGTAGGCCTAAGTCAAATATAAGTATCTGTGAGTCTGTGAGGGTGATTGCTTCAAACGTACACTTGTGAAACCTCTGATAATAGATACATGTAGTGAGATACGATAAATCAGAGGGGTATTCCTGTTTTTGTAGAACAAAGCCTTGTGTTTTGATTCGGTGACGGGTTATAATAGCCTACTTGTATTGTGAACTGTGAGCTTTCAGACGTGGGAGACACTGTGCAAGGTAGCATCCGTCTGACGTTAATTGAATTTAGTTCTGAGATATCTTTTAAAAAGGGCTGGAATTTTAAAACATATTGTTCTTAAGGTGTTAAAGTCAAAATGAAGACAAATTATAAATCTTGTTTTACGTGAATGGTGGGTGTTTAGAGCGCGGCACTTGTAGGTCTTATC